GGAGGCCCAACAGGAAGTGGGGGTAGCTTACTGTCCTGGCTCGGGGTCTGCCTGTTCCCCGGAGCCGCCACCGCCGCAGGTGTGGGGCTCGCTCTCACCCCTTGCCCTGGGTCCCCCTGTCCCTGGTGTCTTTGTCGAGCTCCAGCGCCTGTCGGGTGTTCCTGGGAGTGGGGGCCACATGGAGGGGAGGGGTCCCACGGCCGTCACTGTCCCTGAGACTTGCTGCCCCAGCTCACAAACTCTCAGCAAAACCCGAGAGGGGGTCCAGGGGCTCCAGCCACCCTGCTCAGTGCCAGGCATACCAGCCTGGCTCCTGTCGGCCTGTAACCCTTTGCCGGCAGTTCCAAGAGTCTCCCCACCAACCTGCCTTCCACAGGAGGCCTCGCGGTGTGCTTGGGAGGCAGACATTTCCACCTCTTTTCTGGGAGAGTTTCCCTCGCATTCCGGCAGAGAGAGGGGCCCACTGCTGCCCAAACTCAGCAGTCGCAGCCCATCGTGTTCCCTGCCACCTGGGCGCCCTCTCGCCGATTCGTTCACCCGAGTGTGCCAGTGTGCGTCGCCTGCCGCCCCCGTCTGCTCTCGCGTTCAAAAGACAGGAATTCTCACCAGAGACGTCATATGGTCATCGCATCAGCTCCTTCTTGTCCCAGCAGCCACAGTGGGCGCTGCTCCATCCCAGGACACAGGTGGGGCCCGTAAGCCAACCTGCCCAGCGCTGCCTGGCTGCGAGGCAGGGGGCCCTCCATGCAGGACTAACACATGCAGGCCCCACACCTCAGCCGGTCTGTTCCCAGGACTCCAGCGGGTTGGGAGCGTGCTCTGCGGGGGACCCGCCACAGCCCCACAGCCCATGCCACCCAGCTCTGCCACACCCGGGCCAGGGGGAGGTGGCTGAGAGTGACCAGGACAGGGCTGGCTTCCTAGGCCAGCAGCAGGCAGTCCCGCTCCCACTCCTGCCAGGCTTGGGAGCCACAGACCTGAGCACCCTGCAGGGGACAGGGGTTTGAAGTCGGCCCCACTCCTCCCAGGTCCCATCCTGAACTCCCTGGAGCCACCGCCTCCCAATCAGGACCTATCGCTCTGCTCGCCTGCTGTTGGCCAGTCCTGTGCCGTGGCCCCTGAACTGTGGGTACAGGGGACGAGCAGTGGGGTGGGTGGGGAGGGCAGCGAGGCCGCTCAAGGTCCCCAGTAGGGGAGGGGCCATGCTGGCGGGTGGNCCCAAACCCACAGCACCGCCCCTGCGCCAGGCACACTGGGGCCTGCTCCTGCTGGGAAGCCCAGCTTCTCAGACCCCGGGACTCCCGCCAACTCCAACCCCACCTCGCCCAGAGCAGGCTGGGCAGAGGGTGCCCAGGGAAGAGCGTGCCTGCCTCTCCCTGTCCCCCTGCACGAGGCTAGTTCTGGACCAGGTGTCAGCCACGTCAGATCCCACGTGTTCCACTTGGGGCCCAGGGCTGTGGCCCAGAGGTTAGCAGTGGGGGTGGAGGTGACCCGACACTGGGCTCTGTCCCGAGCCCTGCCTGCTGGTGCCCAGCCCGAGAGCTGTCTGTGCACAGCCGCTCAGCACCCGCCGTGGCCGTGTGGGGTGGGCAGGAGCCAGAGGCTGTTGTGGGACCAAGACTCCTTCATCCCAGGGCAGGGTCGCGTGGCCGAGACAGTCTGAGGGTAGAGAGACGCGCTGTCCGGGAGTGTGGGGTCACCTGGGGGCTGACGTGGTCTCCTGAGCGTCAGCCCCGAGAGTGAGAAAGTGCGGTCACAGGCGTGTGTGTTCACGTGTGGTCATGTGTGTGCACATGTGTGAGGGAGGCACCGGGATCTGGAGGAATGGCTGCTCTGAGGCCCTGGCCGGGTGCAGGTCAGCTGCCCCATCACTGAGGAGAGGGAGGCCTGCGGGGCACCCAGTCCTGGCTCACAGCAGCCTGAGGCCCGAGCCCCTGCCCTTTGTCCCCACTCAGTCCCCTCTGCCTAGTCCCCTCCCCGTCCACACCCTGTCCCCACAGTTCCTCCAGCCCCACCCCTCTGTCCCTCTCTGTCTCGGCCCCACCCTACTTCCCTGGATGCATCTGGGAGCTGATGGCCCTTGGACCCCCTGTCCCTGGCCTGTCCTGGGCCCTGGGCACTGGAAGATGTCCTTGTGCCTCCCTCTCTCCCAGACACATAGGTGACAGATGGTGACTCCTTCAGGGTCCTTTGACGCCCTGAGGACCAGGACTCCAGGTGACCCTCTGGGTTGGGGTCTGGGGGGAGGTCTGAGGTCAGGAAGCTATAGCTCTTCAGCGATGATCCCCACCTCCCTCCCGGGACCCCAGTAAAGGGGCCGAGGGAGCTGGAGAGACCAAGAGGGGGGGCTACCCAGCAGGGGCCTCAGCTCAGAGGCTTCTATGCAGACCAGGTCCTGGGAGGGGCCTCTTTTCCAGGAAGGGGGTCCCAGTGTGGTGATTCTGTGGAGAGGGGCTTCGGGGCAGAGAGATTTGAGCAGTCAGGGGTCCCAGGATGGGCCCTCCCTGCTGAGGGAGCCCAGGGAGAGGCCTGTGTACGGAAGGGGGAGCCCAAATGTCTGCCAGGGCCGCTGGCTGGGCAGGGCGGGCGGAGCCAGGCTGGGCTTCAGGGAGACAAGGGGGGTCGGCGGGAGTGAGGTCAGGCAGCCTCCAGCAGCAGCCAGCGGACAGCAGGGGGAGCTTGGAACCTGACTGATCTTGTCCTTGGCCCAGTCACCTGGCCACCTGGGGCCTGGCCCTGCTGCTTCAGCCTCCTGGGCCGAGGCCTCTGATGGGGGGCTGGTCAGTTATCCCAGGCCAGTTGCTGCCCCGGGGGTGACCACCGGGGAGGTGAGAAAGGCCCCCGACAGGGTGTATATGGGGATGGGCCCTGGGCTACCTGGTGCTCAGCTCAGTCACCTGCAGACACCAGCAGGACAGGGCGGGTGCCCAGCCAGGGCCCTGCAGAGACTGGCCATTGAGACCTGACTAGCCTCACGGACACCCCGAACCTGAGTGGGGGGTGGGATGGGAGAGCTGCAAGCCCAGAATGGGACACCCTCTCCCGAGCTGCAGGGACCCTCTGGCCAGAATGGGGGGCCCAAGGGAGCCCTGGTTTATTCCTAATTCTCTGTTGTGAGCTCCCCATGCTTGCTCAGGGCCCCCACCCACTGTCCCCACATTGCAGGTTCCACCCAGCAGCTCAGGAACCCCAGAGGGGACCGAGAAAGGGAGCCGCCTGCTGCAGGGTGGGTCCTACACCCTCCCAGGACTGGTCAGCGCTCACAGGCCCCGGCCCAGCCTGGTGGTCCGGGCCCCAGTGATCCCTGGGCTGGGGTCAGCGCAGCCCACCTGGCCCATGAGGGGCAGGAACTCCTCGGCTGCCCCACCAACCTCACACCCTGCTAGAACGGGGCTCCCGTACATCTTGCCACAGACCTGGGGGCTTGGGGAGGGGCCCAGCTGGCAGGGGTGGTGGGAGCAGGGCTGGTGACCAGGCCCTGAGCTCCAAGTGAGTAGGAGGGGGCAGGACCCAGGACACGGGCAGTCCCAGGGCCCACCGAGAACAGAGTAGGCCAGGACAGCAAGGGGTGGGGGCCAGGAACCCTCTAACCTGTGGGGAACCTCTGGGCCTCCAGGGTCCTGAGAGAGGGGACTCCGCAGGACTGGCCCATCCAGAGACACCCCAGAGAATACAAACCAGCCCCCACCTCCAAGAGAACCCTAGAGGGTGGGCCCTTGTCCTGGCTCCCACGGGAACAACTCCTTGATGCCCAGGGACACACTGCCACACTCCTGGCAGGAGGTGGGGGACAGTGCAGGCAGAGCCAGGCCGGCCCCAAAGAGCGCCCGATGGGGAAGGCACGCAGGAGCCCGGGCCCATCTCCCTGGGGCCGGCATCGGGCCAAGGTGGGAAACGGGCTGGCCAGGCTGGCAGCAGGGAGCGGGCCAAGGTGGGAAACGGGCTGGCCAGGCTGGCAGCAGGGAGCAGGGGTCTGTGGACCCCCGAGGTAGAATCCCCCGCCACCCACTTCTGCCCCCCACCCCTGGCCTGGGACGTGGGACCTGCCCCGAGCTGATGTGGACAAGTCTTGCAGCCTGGAGTCCAGGGTGTGCGGAGGGGCGGTGGG